GTGAACACAAATTAGTTAGCATAAATCAGTTAAATGACGAAAAGTTAGGTGTCTATTTACTTGTGACCACTCAGTGTATATGTGTATTTAGTTTTATCATTGAGTTAAGTTTAGGCTATTGTTGATCAAAATTCATCCAATGCAAGGGAAGGAAACATAAGTAAGTACATACGACGACTTATTAGTGCAGATGTACCAAGACAATGAGTTCAATATCAAGTCATATACACTTCATTGTTTTATTTCCTACAAGATTTGTAACACATATTTCTTTCACCAGCATCAAATGAATAAAGGAAGGGTAAAAATTGCCAGCAAATTTAAGTCGATTGACATGAAAAGTCAACAAATCAACTGAAGGCATTTAACAGTAGAAACAATTAAAATTAGCCAAAAAATAAATATTGAGAATCGAAACTTGATTATCTAAAAGAGAGACTGGGCATTGTCAAAAAAGCACATGAATGACTTATTGGCTTGATAAGTGTTCATGGAAATCCACTTTTAATATTCACAGAAGTGATTAGAAACTTTTCACATCGTAAAAATGAGCTTTTGTGACATTTTTTGAATGTATGGCTACGTTTGATTCAATCGTGAAAGAATACCTAAAAAAAGTACTGCGCGAGAAATCTATAAACTTTGAGAAAGTTAATTCGGATTGAGCTAATTCGATCGCTATCCAATATGTGTTGGCTCTGCTAGAAATGTTAGGTTTTACTCGATGGTGTTAAACCAAACTCCAGTCATGGCCCAATGATCACTTGGTTTGTCACTGCTACTGAAACATCCGCAACTGAAGATAGTGAGATTGGTATCCACTAACATTTTATCGGAATTTTACTTCTGAAAAACATAAGTAGTGCTGAAGTATTCGAAGCTGTTTTAGGCACATTGTAGAAAATGGCTTTGTCCCTGGAGTACAACCCAAACAACAATATTTTATTTTCATTTGTAAGAAAGTTACACAATTAATGTAATGATTAACATTAATTATTGTATTGAACAATGCAGTCACTGTTGCACCGAAATATGGCAATCTTTGATTTCATTTGAAATCTACACGTCTAATTTTCTGCTTTAACCCGTGTTGAAAAGTATTGCTACAACATTTTTCCCATTAAATGAGAAGCTATTTAGTTACATCCAACACCAGCTATGTGTTTGTGTTTTTCGTAGCAAAGTCATATAAAGCTATCTGCTGTATTCACCAAGGTGAATCAAACCCCTGATTTTAGGGTTGTAAATTCGTAGACTTACCACTGTCCTTCTGAGGGACAACACCAGCTGGGAGAAATTTATGACGTTCTGTTCTCCACCGTATAGGGCAATAACTTTACAGGAGCCAATGGAACAAAGTCACATTCCAAAGTGAAAGCATTCGCTGCCAAAATGTTATGTTTCAAATTCATGGCTAACCTCGTAGTAGGACACCACTTCCTGTATGAGATTAAACTAGCCAGCAAACAGCCGCAAGAAAGAGTGTCCTTGATACATTCTAAGCTGCTGCACAAACATTTTTAAAACTTCCTAGGTACACATGACCAAAGATGCGTTCAATATCTAACTTATAGGAGAGTGAAATATAATAGTTTTGAACAAACCTGACAATGTATATTCAATGTAATAGGTGTGATTCCTTGGCCCATACTTATAAGTATATGTCTTACATATGTAATCATTGTTCCATGAACATTTCAAAAATAACTGCTTTAATTTTGAATAAATAAGTTTGAGCATTTTGCTTGAATTATCATGCGAACAAAGACCCTTGAAAATCGCTTCAACATCTTTGCTGTTCAGCCGATGGAAGGTAATTTATTTCTGAGTATTACTGGTGTTATCTAGTACTCGTAGCATTTATTAACAGCAGTTTTTACACGATGAAGTGAGAAAAGTAGGTTGTATATTAACATGTGTTAATGGTATATATATCTAAAGTAAGAAAGTATGATGGAAATTAATAGAAACATTTATTGTTATAGACTACATATGTATTATTTAAATGTGCATTCATCGGCTGGTAAATTTTAAAATAAATTAAATTCTTCAGAACTTTTATGTATTTTTTTTAGATATATTGAATTTAATGATAACTAAAACTTTATTTAGTATATTGAATAAACTTGCATTTTCAAATTTACCAGCCGATAAATGCATATATACATAATTTTATACAATTTCTGATGTTGAATGAGAGGAAGTGCGGTTTTCTGGACGTAGGAAAAATGTGTGTTTACTGTAGTAAACTGAACGTGGAATAAGTGACGTGGAATTAAGAGTATCGTTTACAAAGGTCAAGGTTTACTTTAGGTTTTAATATTAGAGCTTATATTTACATAATACTAGAACAGTTTCTTAAGTCAACGGTATGTAGAATTTATTCAGTAATGTCTTTTTTTAACGATAATGTGCCTCACTACTTTACAGTTACACTTATGTTACTTAAACTGTTAAAGGTAAACACTGTCACAGTTATATAATAAATTGATAAATAATGTAGTTATGATTAGTGTTATTATGTTGTGTTAATATTAATATTATTATGACTTTCCAAAACTTTTACTTAAAAGAGGCTAACCAGAAACCCCTCTTTCAGAAAATTAAGCTGTAGTTGTATTAGTATTAGTAGATGAAGTAACTGCAAACTACAGTGTGGGCAAAAAGTTTGGGCACACACCTGAAATATAGATAGTGTACATGAAAGAAAGAATTTAATGCATGTTGATATATTTGTACATCTGATATTGATGCAGACTAACAAAAAGTTTGATTAATAATCCCAAATCGTTGAAAATGTGTCTCTTGGCCTTCATTTTCATGACATAAGATGATACATCCTCCTTAGCATATTAGGCACGGCCTTAGTTTCGGGCCAACGTGGGAAAGGTGGTTAGGGTGCTCAACACTCAATATGAGGATCACTGGTTCAAATCTCCATCCAACCAAACATGCTTGCCCTCTCAGCCATGGGGGCATTATTAAGTGATGGTCAATCCCACTCTTTGTTGGTGAAGGAGTAACCCAAGAGTTTGCAGTGGGTGGTGATGACTAGAAGTCTTCCCTCTAGTTTTTCACTGCTAAGTTAGGGATGGCTAGTGCAGATAGCTCTCGTATAGTTTTGCATGAAAGTAAAAAATAAACAAACAATTCAACAGTTTTTTGTTTCAAAGCATCAGGTGTTTTATATCATTCTTTTACCACAAGCTGTTTGATAAAGCCCCACAGTGAATTATCACATGAGCTTTAAATACCCTTGGGTGCCCAGAGTATTTGGCCACCCTGTAGATCTTGCTTTTTTGAGTAAACTTAAACTTTATCATGCAAGTTTTATAGGAGTAGGAATTTTTAAATTAGAATAGAACACTTATAGGTTGTATTTTATACCACATGTTGAATAAAAAATGAAAACTTTGATAAAAAGCTTGTGTTTATGATATTTGTTTTGGTGAAAGATAATAAAATTCCCATAAATTCATTGAAAAAATTGGTACCTAATACTATTAATATTATTGTAATATAAAGTGTACTGTATAATTCAAGTGTGTTTCTGTGTTAGAACAGAAGCAGTCACTGAATTTGAAGGGATATGAATGTATATATATATATATATATATATTTGCCAGTTGTGATCTGAAACTTGCATGGTAGAAATATTCCAGAGGTTCTGTATTATTATATGTAGATGAAAGCATGGTACCATTGAAGTTGAAACTGTGTAAAACATTCGTAACACCTTATTTATTTGGATAATTTTTTTTCTGCATTTTTCATACATAAAAAAACAAATATTTTATTACTCAAAACTATGTTCATCCATTTTATCACAGATCTTTACCATTCACATTTCTGTTGCCATTTATATGACTTCCCTCTAATAATCTGATGCAAAAAATTCCTTTAATTTATTCTACATGCTATAATTTTGGAGAAATATTTTGGACTATTTGATCAGTTGGGCTAACACCCGACTGATGTCTTTTAAAGCTAATACAAAACAAGTTATTTATATTAATTATCACAACATTGATCATGCTTATATCTTTGATGGTGCAACTTCAAATGAAGTTAATGAGAAAAAAGATTTGAGCAGATGTTTCAAAATCTCTCAACCTTCTAGACAGTGCATGTTAACTAGTAATAAAGCAAAGAAAATTTTTAAGTTTTATACTTAGAAATATCGGAACAAATTGAAGGTGAACATTGACTCACCCTATAAGGTGTTTAGACTTCATTTGGAATTCTATATGAACTTAGTGTATATATAAAGTATTTCAAAAAGCTTTTGATAAGGTACCACACAGAAGAGTAGCTAAAAAAAACCATACTAATAGGGGCTGAAGGAAACTAGTTAATTGGATTGTAGAGGGGTTAGAGGAGAGAAAGCACTAGGATGGACTATTGTTACTGTTAAAGTCCTTGAAAGTCAGTGGTTGTGCCTCTTCTTCTTATTTACATTAATGACTAGCACAGGGACTTAATTAGTAAAACTTGGTGATGATATTAAACTTTTGAACATTTCTAGCTGAATTTATAGAGGATGTTGGGGTAATACAGAATGACTTGGATCAGTTGGTAAGTTGAACAGATATTTGGCAAATTACATTTTATTATAGTATGCAAGGTAATGCATGTGGATTATCATAACATAGCTTACACATTTAATATAGGTAGAGCCTACATTATAGCATGAATGAAAAAAAAAAGATATTGGCATAGTGGTGAATCATTCATTCAAGCCATTGAAGTAGTGCTTTGTTGCTAGTAGTAAAGCTTAAAAGTATTAGAATTTTAGGGTGTATTTATAGAAATATCAAATATAACCCCAAAGTAAGAAGTCCAAAACTGAACACAGTAGTCTAAATGAGTCTTAACCAGAGATATGTACAAAGAAATGATAACTTCCTTTGACTTGTATTCACTATTTCTGTAGATACAATCCAAAATCCTATTTGTTTTCCTATTGGAAGGCTTAAGAGACTGATTGACCTAAACACCAAAATCCTGTTCTTACATAATACTGTTGATTTCATTTCTATCAAGGTGATGATTATATTTTAAATTAAGGTAACCCATATGCATTACCTTGCACTTAGCAAAATCAAATGCCATCTGCTATTTATTTGCCTAGTTTGCCAAGTGATTTAAATCCTTTTTTAAAATAACAGTATCCTTATCGCTGCCCAAACTACCCAAAACATTAATATCCTCAGCTAACTTGACCATTCCCTTACAATATCATTTACATATATCAAAAAGACTAAGGGTCCATCACATAGTATTGAAGTACTCCATTTATGACTCCAATCAAATTTGACTGAATTTCATTTGTTATAACCCTTTGCTTCCTCTCTAAAAAACCTGTAATCTGCTGAGCTAAATTATCTCCTTTGGCCACAGAAGTATTTTACCAGTATTTTATGTGGCACTTTGTCAAAAGCCTTCAAAAAATCCAATTATGCCAAATCCATACCTTTACCCTCATCAACATAAGCAGTGAAAAGAATACATGGGGGATTGAAAGGATAATGGCCTCTTGATTTCTTTATGCTCTATTCTGAAGACAATAAGATTAAAGAACACGAGTTTAAGATTTGGAAAAAACAAGCTAGGCTCCAGTTAAGACAGTTTTGTTTTTCTAAAAGACTGATTGTCTTATGGAATGAGTAGTTGTTAGCAGTAGCTGAGACTAGCACTTTACAAGAGCTTAAGAGGCTAATTGATGAAAATGAAGAGTCGGTTTAAATATTTACTATTTTCAGGGGTAGGTGAGAAATGACAGCTTTGAGGAACCATGTGGTCCAATGTTGTTCATATGTTATTTCTTTCATGTATGTCTTGTTCTTCAAGGTCACTATTTTGAATTTCTAGTTAATTATATTATGGATACTTCATCTTTTACTTGTATGTAATTAGTTTATTTGGAAATTTTGTTTCTGTGCAAGGACACTATGCTAGAAACATTATATGCCTCATTAGCCTATATTCCATGTAGTTCACTTGATGGATGTCACAATTTGTTAAATATTCAGTGTCAAATATTGGGTTTTTATAAATATAAGTAGTTCTCCTAAGAGATGTTTTATAATTTTATATCTGTTTCCCGTAATTAACTTAAATGTCACTCACATGGAAAATTTGACCTTTTGATTTGTACGATGTCCATTACTTAAACAAAAGTTATTGTATTATAAAAGACACACACACACCTCCAAATCATTATATGTAGCAGTTCCATGCATTGGAGCAGGCCTTTATAGTGTAATAATGGTTTGAGATGGCTTGAATGGGTAATGAAGCAAAACTTTAATATAAGTTTAACATAACAGCAAATGTACAACGTTTCGACAAGGTTTTGTTACCATTGCACCCAGTACTAATAATTTAGTATTATGGTTTATTAGGTATGTTTATTTAATCAACAAGTTTATTTAAAAACTTCTGTGGCTGTAAACCTGCTTGAAACAGTGACTTAAAAGAAAATATGTTATGCTTATATCAGCTGCAGTACTTTTAATTGGCTACAATAGGATGCTTTTGTAATACAAGATTATTGTATATAGCCATATGAGTATCATGCATGTATCAGGTAAGTGTCCATAAACAACATGCATGCTTTATATTTACTTAAAATATAAAACATGATTACCTGTAAAATAAAAGGGTTTTCAATCAAATATAAATTGATAACCATGGTGATGTTATCAGTAAATTATGCAAATTATTACTATCAAAGAATTGAACTTTCATTCACTATTTTGTTCAGAACTTTTAAAGGTCAAAATCTACCCTTTCTTTACAGCCCAAATAGTAATTGAATGAGTTTTGTGAATTTACAGTCTCTAGGACAAAAGTACTTATATAGAATAAAAGCATCTAGTTATTCTTGTTTATGTGTGTGTATATATGTAGACTATAGAGTTGAGTGATTAACCTGATTGATAAAAATTAACCATGTGCATCAGTTATATCAGTTAATGTCACATGAAATACACACTTGCAGTTATGATTAAATTGATTAATGCCATGATTCTCATAAAAACAATCAACTAATTGAGATTAGTGTTTCCAGTTATTACTGTTTTCAATTATTCCAGCTCTCCAAGTAATCAAAATACTGCCATTATGATTTTACATTATTCCTTTCGATTAAATCAAGGTTGTTCAGTTTGATCGATTACTGTCACGATTCTTGAAAATAATCAGTTAAGATTAATATCTCATATGACAATCTATTAGTTGAATGTAATCAATTAATGAGCCCAGTGGTGAATTTATTAGCATAAATGACTAATTACCTAGCTCTTGTAGATATAGATACACACACACAACAATGGAAATTGCTAAAAAAAACTTGAATATTTCAATGACACCTGTGAATAATTTTTATTGTGAAGTTAAGGCTCCAAAATTATACTGAGTCTATACTTTTTTACAATCAAGGTTACTTGTTCTCTCAACTGTTATAGTTTGGCATTTGTATGGCTTAGAAAAATTTGGTTGATATCCTACAAAAAGACTCCACATTACATTAGTTGTAATGAAATATGAATTATTTAAATTATTTTAAAAATAGCAAATTGTCTGAAGTATTTTCTGTTTCATTGATTGTGCGTTTAAAATGTTGTTTTTTTCTGCTGTAGTTTGAAATGAAGCTGTTTGTGGTTTTGATTTCCTTGTACTTGCTTGAAGAGGCATTTGCTGCCCCTCGTCCAGTGGATAAAAAGAAAGAAACTGAAAAAAATAAAGATGATAATAAAGAATCTAATGCAGACATTGATGATTTTGTAAGATTTGTTTGTGTATTTTTTCAATAAATGTATACTTAGAGTTCTAAAAATACTGGTCTGCAACTTGTCATTTAACAGTTTTTTTTTGTATCATTTTTGTGAAACTAAAGCCAAATGACATCTTTCCTCGATGGTATAGTCATTCCAGTACAATAACCATTGTATATCTTTCATTCTATGTAAAGATGTAACAAAATAACATTTCACAAAGATTTATTTAAGTACATGTTATTTTTAAGTTATATGATGAGTTAGAATAGCTTTATGATAACATGTTAAGTGAACGTTACTAACAGGAAAAGTTACAGTGCAAATGGTTTTTAAAACCCAACTTAATTTTCAGAATTTGAGACTTTTAGCATTGTGATTATTATAGTTGCATAAAACATTAAATTATACTATGAAAGTTTAAATTACAATTAGAAACAAATACTCCATGCATTAAGCTTGCCGAAAAAGGAACGATTTATGAGGGGGAATGCTGTGAAACTTTATCCTGTGGTGGCCAAGTGCCAGAAATTAGAACTTTTTTTTCATTGGTAAAAATATAGATTACATCCTTATATAGCAGTCAAACCTTTTTGATTGATGTATTTGACCATGTCCAAGGTTTCTTAGATTAAATTACTCTAATCTGGCTTAAAAGAATTTCAATTTGAGGGTAGACTGGTAGAGATCCTGATGAATAATAAAACTGAATCGGGTATACATGCACCCTCACATTTGGTATTGCTGGCACCCACAAAAACATAGCTAATAAAAAGGAAAAAAAGTCTTGTAGATTAATTTAGTCTAATCCTTAATAACAAGGAACCCACTTTTCAGACAATAAAAGTTTTGAGACAGTTTAACTGAATAATGAAAAAAATTATTGTAAATGTACGATGTTTCAACAAGATTTTGTCATCCTCAGGTATTTGCAAGAATTTTAGAAATGCACATGATCTAATTATGATCTTGTTTCTTAAGAATATGCTGTGTAACGATACTTGATAATACATGTAACTCAACACATGCACCCATGAACATGTTGGTTGTATTGTTATAAACTTTTTAAAGTATTTGTTTATTTCAAGCATTACCATATATATAACATCTGATGTTGGGCTAAAGCTGAAATGTTTTGTATCAAATTTAATTCTTATGCATTTGTATGAGAATATCTGTTTATTTTTATATGTTTATTTATATTTTTGGCTAAGTTTTATCAATATTTTTAAGTTCAGTTTGATATTCCAATCATGGAATAATAATTAACAGCCAAACTTTATTCTTTGTTCTTCCCATAAAATTTCTAAAAATAATTTCTTAAGGAGCTACTGTTTTTTTTTAATTTGGTTAAAATGATGTAATTGCTAGTGATGGGAGATTAACTTGATTAATCAATATAATCAATTACCTATGAACATTGATCAAATCGATTAATGCCATGAAAATAATTAAGTAATCGAAGTAAGTGTTTTCAATTACTTGAACTATCCAAGTAATCAAAATATTGCCATTATGATTTCTCATTATTTTCTATTAATTCAAACTTAATCAGTTAGTGTTACAACTCACAAAAATAATCGACTAATTGAATTCAATGTTTCTGATTATTACTACTTTCAATTATTCTAAGTATACAAGTCTCGTATAAGAATAATAAATTAATGAGCCAAACAGTTAATCAATTAACAAGTTCCACTAGTCACCCAGCTCTAGTGTTTGCCTGATAAAAAATTAGACAAATTCTGCTTAAACACAGCCAAGTTGACTTGTCCTTTATTTGAATTGTTTATACTATTAGGTTTCGATGGCCAAATATTTACTTCATTATAGGTTTAAAATCAGTTGGGTAAAATTTCGAATGATACTTGTTCGTGGTGTAAGATTTGATAATTCATATTTCTTATTAACCATAAAAAGTAAAAAAATATTTGTAAAATATCTCAGGGCTAAAAAAGCAACTTAGGTACATTGAAGAAAGTGAAATTTTCTTTTTTTAGTTTTAGTTCAGGTATTTTAAAAATTTGACTGAATTTTAGAAAACATAGGAAAAATTATAGTCTTAAAAAAAGATGCTTTTCACATGTGAATAAATTACTTTTTTTTTAACTTTAACAGGGTCTTGAATATGGAAGATACCTAAAACAAGTTGTCCAGGCTTTAGAAGAAGACAAGGAATTTGCCAAAAAACTGGAAAATTTCTCTGCTGAAGATATACAGGTACTTTGAAGTGTTACTCTGAGGTATTTGGCTAAGATATTGACTGTGATATGTAGACAAATGCACAATCAGTATCGTAGACAATACTTTAAAGTATTACTGTGAGGTATTTGTCTATGATACTGATTGTTATATGTATACAAGATACTTTAAAGTATTACTGTGAGGTATTTGTCTACGATACTCATTTTGACATGTACATAAGATACTTTAAAGTATTACTGTGAGGTATTTGTCTATGACACTGAATGTGACATGTACATAAGATACTTTAAAGTATTACTGTGAGGTATTTGTCTATAACACTGAATGTGACATGTACATAAGATACGTTAAAGTATTACTGTGAGGTATTTGTCTACGATACTCATTGTGACATGTACATAAGATACTTTAAAGTATTACTGTGAGGTATTTGTCTATGATACTGAATGTGATATGTTTTATACACCTCTTAAATTTTTTCTTTACAGTTATAACTCAAACCTTACATTTTTTCTAGATATCTATACACACTGAATATTGGACAGGCTTTCAGGCACATATTATCAATAACTGTGTATATTACAAACCCTAGTTAGAAATGCAGTTAAAAACATATCACATTGCTGCTATTAGTAAGAGACAGTCCCCTGGTGGGACAGCAGAAAGTCTTTGAATTTACAATGCTCAAATCAGGGGTTCAATTCCCCTTTGTGGACACAGCAGATAGCCCAATGTGGCATTGCTATAAGAAAACACACACAATAAGAGAGACAATGTCATAGACACTTCATTATGCCATATGTTTATCTTGCTTTTCTCCAAGACGTTCAAATTACACACATCCAAGGTCTTAACTCTGTATATATGAGTTTGGTCATTCTGACTGTCTTTGTAACCACTATGTAAATATGAAACTATGCATACTATCACTCTGAAGTGTATCTTCCCAAAATTTGACAAGTTTGTAGTAAATATTACAAGTCTGTTGTATACAGAAAAATTGTATTTTTATTAAAGTTTCTTTACCAAAGATATGTCTGAGAATTTATTAATCTTTATTGAGTCAGCCTGTGTGAAAGGTGATTGTAATATACTTCTTTTCACCTTACAGTTTCCATATTTCATTTGCATAAGCTCTAGCACCTCCTGAATGACTTTCAAAAGTTTTTTTTTTTTTCATTCAAAATTTGTCTTTTTTTTTATCTACTATAACACTATCTGTGGTGAAATAATCTTTATTGAAAGTATAAAATTAAATCAAAAATACTTTTTTTTTTCAAGATGAGCTGCAGATTGTAACAGATAATTACAATTATTTATTTTAATAGCTTAGGCCTTTCAACGTTTCCCAACTGCTCTCAATTAATTATATTGTTTTATTGCTTACTAAACTGTGTCTAACTGCTGTGGCAAGCAATCAGTCACTCACCACGAGTGCATAGAGTTTAGGTTAAACAAAGTTTCCGGTTGCATCACATGACATCTAACGAGGTATGTTCCTCAAGGAGTGATCATGAAAACTTTTTCATTTAAGGGTCCTTGTATAACAAAATTATGTTTTTAATATTTACCTTTCAGTTACTTTAGCAAAAAATATAAATATGAATAAAAAAATATCCATAAAAAAAGAAATTTAGCATTTCAACTTAGCCCTAGGCCAGCTTGCACTTGGCTGCTTGCTTTCATGTTCTGTCTTTTTTTCTCACTATAATTGTTTTCCAAAAAACAACTCAAATAACTTTAAAACATTTTTTTTGGAACACAAAATATATCAGGCACTATAATAAAATGTTCCAAAACTACTATAGTTTATCTGGGTTTCTAACTAAATTGTAAATAGGTTACAAAATTACATTAATCTTCAGTGCATGGACTTCAGTCTAAACACACGAAGATCTACTTCCAAAATGGCAGCTTTCACAAAAAAAAACTAAACAGACTATCATCAGGATTATGTAGTTCAAGAAATGGTCTTTATATTGGTTATAAACATGTACCACTGACAAGTAGAAGTGAACAGATAAGTGATTTCAAAAGCTTGAAAAATTGGAAAGAGCTTTTGCAGTGGATGTGAGGAATTTATTGATATTTCAGAAAGTAAAAAAGAGTGGGCAGTTTTATATTCTGAATGTAAATATCTGTAGTTTTTGTATGTAATTGATGGACACTCTGAAACTCGTATAATGAAAGAAAGAAAATCTTTAAAAGGAGAATTTAGAGAGCAGAGGATCATATGAGAGAGGAAAGTGAAGAATGAGAGCTTATTTAAATGTTTCCTTTTGAAATTGGAACTTAGATAATACAAAATTTTTAATTATAAGCTACATTTCATTGGAAAGTTTTTTGACATACATTGCTAATAAAGTAGTTTAATTAAACTTTAAATGTAACTCTTTAAAAAGGTCATGGTCTGCACATTTTGACAGACTTCCCTCCCTCTCCCCTCATATCTAGAACATTAAGCATAAAAACTATTTCTTGGTATATTTAGAAACTTAATTTTATTTTAGTATTTTATTGTATTTAAATTCGATGACGAGGAACCCACTTTGAGACTAATAATGGCTGGAGATGGCTTGAATGGGTAATGAGGAAAACTTTAATATAAGTTTAACATAACAGCAAATGTACAACTTTTTCGACAT